AAGATTCTTGCTAGAGGTTGTAGCTAATAAACATAGCTGAACTGATTTTGCGTTGTCTCTTGGAGTTTCTTGGGCTAGGCCTGACAGGAACTGAGTACCGCAGTTCTTACAACAACAGCTACTGCATATCTCCACCAAGGTCCTCTTCCTGACTCTCTGCACTGTGCACCAACACCTCTCTTCTAGTTCTTGCAATCTAGAACTCTGGAAGAGTTCCTGGAGAACTGCAGATAAAAGAGCATCTCTGGAACTCACCAGCGTGCCTCCAACTGGGAGCACGGTTGGCACCCATCCCCACCCTTCTGACAGGTACACACGATTATCACCAAAGAAAACGAGGAAGGTGCAGTGCAAAAGAGGCATACCCTGATCCACAGGGTGGGTACACAACAATCCTGGTTGAACATTTGCATTTCACGGGATTGGAGGTCCTGAAACCGTGGTTGGGCTCACATCGGGCAGCGTCTAAGCAGACCCACTGAAGGGGTTGCCCAAACATAAGCAAAAATGGGCCCAACTGCAATGTGGGATAGGTGCACCTGTAAAAAGGGAGTCAAAAAAGTCAAAATGGCAGCCACCACTGCCCAGTTGAAGTCTTGCAGAGGCACAATTGATGGGAATAGTGCAATTGTCCAGCTGCGGCCACCACGTTCACTTTTTTGACACCCCCCCCCCATGTGTATGGATTTTTTCTTAAACTGGACGCTGGGAGAATATGAGAAAGATTCAGATATGTGCAGGATGGACCAAATGAACCCTCTTGCACCAATGGGAGTCCTTGTGAATTCCTTTCAAAAGGTGTTTTCTTAATTTCCCGGTTTCCTCGCCTCCTACCAGAACAGACAGTTCTTGCTTGACTCTGGATTGTGCTGGGAAAAAAAGGTGGTGCTCCCAGCTTTGCACATCTGTACAAAACGAGCTTTTATACCATTGATGACCATCCACTCAACCCACTTCAACGTGCTCACTCAACAGGGGACAAATGATCGACTGAGGCCTTGCAGGGTGGGAATGAGGGCCCCCCCTCCAAACTACGCAGACAGAACTTTCACGTCCACCCCCAGGACAACCCAGTGGGTTCGCAGCTTTACCTGCATCGCTGGGCTGAAAAAAACGAGCAGGGAGCGTGTCCATTCTGACCTTGAGAATTACATGCGGTGTTGGCAGATGTCGCGTTAACAAAGCCAGTTAAAACTCCTTGTCGGTTCCGGGCCCCGGGTGCCGTCAGCGTGATCCACAAAGCACTGAGCCACTTGAGTCTCGTTGATTTTGATGGGACAAAGTATTGCACAGAGGCTGTACCCTCACTTAAGTCAATGGGAGTTAATGGGGGGACTTCTTGGAGAAATAGGGGCACCCAGGACCACTTTATCCTGGATTTGGCTGTTGTCCGGCTCCAACTCTGTTGGCATTTCAGTCAATGGGAGTTGAGGAACTGTCTGGATTGGGGCCCAAGCTGTAGTTTCTAGCCTCCCTTCCTCATTCCCTCCATCCATCCATCCAGACTATAGCAGGATCAACCCTTCCATCCATGCCTAGAGAGAAGGCATAAATGAGGTTCAAGAGATACCATCAAGGAGGTGGCACTTCACTTCCTCCAAGGATGAGTAACAACAGCACACAGGCCAACTTGGTGGCCATTGCAGCACACTCCCTCCTTTGTGATCCAGCCGACAAACTCTTCAAATCTCAGATCAGAAAGTGCAAAAGGAAAATCAAGGTACGATGAGGTGAAAACTCATTGTCCATCAAAGCCCATGAAATGGCTGTGGGAAGAAGGAGGTCCCTTCTCTTCTGAAGAACACCTAGAGATGATGGGGGTGAACCCAGAGCTGGTGGGGCGTGCCTTCAATCTTCAGTGCAGATGATGTTATGGATTCTACCCTTCAAGACCAAGGTTGAACCAACATTCAGGGACTCGGGCATTTTTTATCAGGGTGACTTGGAGGCAGCCAGTAGGTGCTGCTGGAGAAAGAGGGGAAAAAAATGAGGGTTTATGCTCCTATAGACCCTCAAATCCTATGAGGGTTTATGCGTCCTATAGAGACAAAAGCTTAACCCACTGGCTTGGCTGACACCCATGGAATCCAATTCCAGAAGCCCCCCAAAGCAGGATGGGGGTTCTCTGTGGCTAGAACATTTGGGGGAATATCTGTGACTCAGCCACAAGACGCATATCATCAAAGCAAAGTCAGAAAGTACATCCAGTCAATTCCAGTGTTGAAGCCTCCATCCACAAGAAAGAGGGCCCAGTCCTTTGACTAGGTGAGGACATTCAGAGAAGCAGATTTGCATGACGCACAGAGCCTGTAAACGTAATACTTTTTCTAGATTTATAAAATACACTGACTCGTCAACTAACCAAACATCCTCAGAGCCATATTTAAAACAACCTTGCAAGGGGTAAATCTAACCTAGCTTAATATTAGCCATGACCATAATGCAGCCGTTCTGTGTCTAGATGAGCCTTCCTGCAGCAGCCATTGTGTGAAGGTGCCCACAGCAGGTGATTAGACTCCAAATGAGTTCACTAGGCTGCAGAAGTACATAACTGGTCTATTGAAACAAAAAACTATTTTTTTTTTTGTTTCAAAGCATTATCTTATATTTCTATGACCCCTTAGGAGATTAGTTTGAATTCTTGACTGTTTCCAACAGAGCCAACTCTTCAGGATGAACAGAAAGCTTTTTAACTTAAGAACTTCTTACTAGAAATACGCATCATTCTTTCTTTAGAAGAACGGCAGAACAAGTTTTCCTCCATGTGAAAGAGAAGCTCGTACAGTCAGTCCTCGCTTATCAACCATTCGTTCAGTGATTGTTCAAACTTACGATAGCACTGAAAAATTAGACTTACGACTGGTCCTCAAAGTTGCAATTGTTGCAACGTCTCCACAGTCATGTGATTGTCATTCAGGTGCTTGGCAACTGGTGCGCATTTACGACGGTCGCAGCATCCCACAGTCACATGATCATCATTTGTGACCTTCACAGCTGGCTTCCAACAAGCAAAGTCAATGGGGAAGCCAGCAGGAAGTCACAAGTTGCGGTCACATGACATCACGCTTAACGACCCACAGTGATTTGCTTAACAACCGTAGCCAGAACATGACATCGTACCGACTGTGCCGTTTAGCGACAGAGTTGCCATCCCAATTGCGGTTGTTAAGTGAGGACTACCTGTAATTAAAATACTGATACTGAATTTAATTTGGAATCCATTTATGGATTATAATTCTGCACATGGAGAATTATACTCCAAAGCTTAGATTTCTCTTAACGTAATGTTTTAACGTATTAGATTTGGCCTGCTTCATTATAATAACAATAGACTTTCTCCAATTAGACAGAAATTCTTATTAATTTTTCATTCTCAGTGACGATTCTTTGGCTCCCTTTGTGAATGATTGAATATTGGATTGATATTAATGCTGGTTTTGAAGTGCTAAATTGATATTAGATCACTTTTACATGCAGTGTTAATCCATGCTGCTTTGAAAATTTCTCATTCAATTTTATGCTGGTCGTGCCTCTCTTTCACTTCTTTTTCTGCCCTTTCTCTTGGCTGCACTTCTCAATATCTATTCAAACATTTTTTTTTTAATCGAGAGATGTTTTATCAAGGTTTCTTGGGTTGGGCCATTGCTCAGCAGCCAAAGCTTGCACGCTTTTCATCTGGACCGGTACCCGCTCCCTCCCAAAGAGAAAACAACATCATGCAGTTTATTGGAAAGAAAGAAGAATGATCTTGCCTCTTGTAGTGATGAGAAATGCAGGGCACCCTCTTGCGTACAGCTAAATATCTATGAATAAGAAAGAAGAATCTGACTTGGCCAGATATTTGGTTCAGGGACTCCCCTTAAAACTTCGTTCTCTTAAAAAGAGCAAGGAAACAGCAGGAGCCGTCTGGAGCCTCAACTTACCTGTCACGTAAGGCCCCAGGGGCATCTGGCTGTAGTTCACAATCCCTCCTGCTCCCGGCGCGTGAAAGTTTGGCCCAAAGTTGTTGCTGTAAACTTGGGAGGGGCCGAAAGAGGTCTGGAGAAGTGGAAGAGAGGAGATATTTCATTGAAATCCCAACCCGCAACGTTTGCAAGTCACAATACGGGGCACGATTCAGAAACCAAGCAGCAGCTTTACTGCCATCCATATGGGGTTAGCAGTACTCAGAATCCAGAAGAGATTGGCTCAAAAGGCAGGTACCTGCCCCAAGGAGCTTACAGTCTAAATTTCAAACCGGGGGGGACATGAAGTAAAACGAGCTTTAAGGGGCCCCCCAGATGAATCACGCTGGGCACAGCGGAACCAGAGCTGAAGAATCTAAGTGGTTAGCGGTGGAAGGTGACGCACAGAGGACGGTCAAACCCGCACTCCAACTCACGCACATTTTGCAAAAGCATGGAATCACACAAGTTGTGGGTGTCCATCTTGCCCATGGCAACCTTGGAAAAGCTCACCCTGCGGTTGTTAACATTTTGTGATGTCTTAAGAGCCCCTTCTCAGCTGTCTCATACACCGCATATACTCGCGTATAAGCCCATCCGCGGAAGACCCTCACATTTTTAACCGATGCCATGAAAAATGCACCACCACGGATAAGACGCCCTGCATTTTACTTACTTATTTATTAGTCACATTTATATGGTCGTCCATCTCGCACAGGTGGTGTACAATAATTTTTCCTGGTGTTTTGGTTAAAAATTTGAGGGTCTGCTTATCCATGGATGGGATTATATGCGAGTATACACAGGAAACATGGGTGCTATAGAAAAGTATTATCGTATATGCTCACAGATAAGCCCATCCATGGCCGAACACAATTTGGGGATGCATTTTAGCACCTGAAATGCTCAGCTTATCCGCAAGTATATACGGTGAGACCTTGTAGGGTTTTGTGAAATCCATCTCATCAAAAATTGCAAAGTGTTCCATGCCCAGTTCTTCTTTTTTTTCTTTTTTTTTATGGCCAGGCCATCACGGAAGAGGAATGGTTGCTAACACCCCTTGAGCATCTGCAGAGTGCAGGCCTTTCCTCCTCAAGTCCATCGCCCCCAACCAGCCCCAGAAACAACCAACACAATTCTGAGATTTGCGAGAGGACGAGGCCAGTCAAAGTCCCCCTGTTCTTCACCCCACCCTCCCCAACCTGTTGGATGGTGGGATCACTTCCCCGGTTTGTCAGTCGGCTTAAGATGCTCCTTTCAGACATCTGTAGACGAGCTGCTACTGGTGGGATGCGAGACAACGTTGAGGGCAACCGAGTCACATCTGCTTTCATGTCACTTAAGAGCTCTTCTAGCTGGTTTAGGACTGCAACAGAAAAGTCTTTGGTCAGATCCTGGGGGACAAAACTCTGCCCCCCCAAAACTGGGTGGGGTGGATCTTCACCTAACATGTATCTCGTTCTACATGGGCTTTCAAAGTTTAACATTCCTCATTGCTTCTTCTGCAAATGCACAAGCCCCCTCCCCGACTCCTACAGCACAACTAAAATTCACTCTGCAACCCTTTTGATTTCTGCAGAGGTTAGCCCTGCCCTATTTAATACCTGTACAACCTATGAACCAATTATATGACCTTTTCACCATCAGTACAGGTAGTCCTCGCTTAATGAGCGCCCTGTTTAGCGGCTGTTCAAAGTTACAATGATGCTGAAAAAGTAACTTTACAACCGTCCTTGCACTTACGACCGTCGCAGCATCTGGCAGTCGTATGATTGCCATTTGTGCACTTCACAGCTGGCTTCTGACAAAGTCAATGGAGAAGCTGGCAGTACATTTGCAAGTCAGGGTCACATGACATCTCACTTAATGACCACAGGTGATTCACTTAACGACCACAGCAGGAATTATATCGTAAGTCCAGCACGGTCACATGATGATTCACTTAACAACTGTCACTTAGTGATGGAGTTGCTGGTCCCAGTTGTGGTCGTTAAGCGAGGACTACTTATATCAGATTCAGCGTTGGGACAGGCCACACACAAACAGGGCTGGGAGTTTACAAACTTAGGAGCAATCTCATTCACATTCCTACCAAACCATATTTTATACTAATGTTATTCCAGAATCTGCCAGCCTGTTTTAGAGGAATTTTCTAAGCTTGGGAAAAAAGGCTTCTGTTTTTCTACCTTGTTCTCAGCTTGAGAATTTCTTTCAATTTTTTCTCAATGGTGTATTTCGGCTGACTTGTTCATTGGAGGAGAGGGATGGGGGCTGAAAAAAGTCCCGGGGGTGGGTGGGATGTCTTCTCCCCTTGGGATTACATGAAATATGGGAACCCAGAGAGGCTGCAAAGTCCCCGTGGACATATCACAGTGCATCCGATGCAAGAATCTTGAATGAAATTCATTTTCACCAAATTGGGACCTCGTTTTCTCAATGGCCATTGTGGCTTGGAGTTTTGCAACTGGACCCAAGACTTTCTTTCCCTTTCGGGGAAGGGCCCACCTTTATGGAGCACAGTGTTGGCGGGCTTGTTTCCAGCCAGAGATTCTTTGGAGAGATGCTGGTGACTTTCGGCAAGGCATTCCACTTCGGCCAGACGGGCGTTCAAGGCCATCGCTGGGTGACCAGGATCCTGGGTCATATTGAGATAAGCGGCTCTGCGCAGCTGTTCCTCGATCACCAAAGCCTGCTCCAGCAACTGCGGCCAAATGGGAAAAAGAGGGGTTCGCTCAGGGGACCGGCTCCAGAGACCCTTATCCGCACGAGACAGTATATTCAGGACCCATAGTCCAACCACCTAAATTCCCCTCTCAGATTCCGCACCAAATTTCACTTGCCTTGAAGCAGGAGTGGCTCACAAGTTCCCCTTCCCACTTTTAAAAATGATGGAGGACCCCAAAACTGCTTTTTTTTGTAGGGGTTATAATTATCAATATTAACCATATTAAAAATTAAAATTGACACATTCGCTGTCACTACAGTTTCTCACAATTGTTTGATGGGGTTCTAACGTATTATTTTCAACACAGGCTGGCAAATCGTTTTGGTTTCGTGGACCCTGAGAGGGTCTTGGGGGACCCTGAGGGGTCCTCAGACCACACTTTGAGGAACACTGGCACAGTAAAACTCGTTTGCTGAATTAATCCTGTCTTTTGGCTTTGCACAATATATCGAGTTTAACGCTAAGCAAACGGGCTTCCGAGAGTGAACACCTGATCACATCCCGCAAATTGTCCAGAATTTATCCTTTTAAGACAAGTTCTGAAGCTGGAACCCTACAGATATCTTGCAATAGAGTCTCCCCACATTCTGGGCCCGCCGGGTCAAGAGCAGGCCAAGAGCAGCTTTTCTAAGCATCCTCTTTCTTTCCCAAAAAGCAAACCTTGAACCGACGAGCCAGGAATTTATTCTTCATCTCTAGGTAATTGCCCTTGTGGATCTCTGACCGGAACGGCTCGTTGAGGATAACATAACGGGGATCGTTCTGGAGATCTTGCCAACGGGCATAACCATGTCTGGATAGCAGGAATCAGTGTTAAGGGAAACAGGAGAGCAATTTTGGAAATCTGGATTTCCAACCTGGAATCCTTGGAGCTGGTGCTGCAGGAGATCCAGAAGACCAGCACCAGCAGAAGACCCATTGGGGGGACACTGGAAGTCAATGGATATTCATAACTGTCCCGTGAGCACATAGTCAAAAATTTGGAGTCAGGGTGGGTCTCAATGAATGCATCTAACTGAGAACAGGAAGCACCAAGGTCCAGTCCACCTTCAGCCACGGAGGCTCGCTAGTGGACTTTGAGAAAAGGTGGGCTCGAAATGCCACAGAGGGGTAAAATTGACTTCCCAACAAATAAATCCATTGAGAGAAGATGTCACTGCAAAACCCACAAATCTCCTCCACCATACACCAGCCCAAGAACTATATGAACCCTACAGCCCCAATCTGAGCAATCCCTGCAAACTCTCATCTCCCAACACTTGACCAGGAAGAGGGATGTTAAGCCCCTCCTATGTTTAAAGTTACCTTAACCTCTCCCTCCAACTCTCCAAAAAGCTAGTAAAAACATTTAGCCTCCTTTCCCTCTGGAATGGTATGTGGGAAAGACCTTGGGAGACGGGGGGAAAAGATGCTGCCTAGGGAACAGTCAGATAAGAGGGCAGAGCCCATAGCTGCATAAGGGGTGGAGAGAAAGACTCAAAAGGGACCTTCCCTAGTTTCTCAGCTGTAAAGGAGATGGGGGCAGGATTGTACTTTCAGACTTCCAAGATTCTGTTAATGTAGCCTTACAATAAAGTAGAATTAGCTCATCTGGTCATGTTTCCTGTCTGGTCTACCTGGTAAGACTGACATCAGTCTTGCAAGTCTGAAAGTTCAATTCTCCCGTCATCTCCTTTACAGCCTGAGAAACTAGGGAGGGTCCCTTCTGAGCCGCTTTCTCCATCCATTATGCAGCTGTGGGCTATGCCCTCTCTTATCTGACTGTTCCCTAGGCAGCATCTCTTCGCCCCATCTCCAAAGGTCTTTCCCACATACCATTATACCCTCCCAGGTATGTCACCTGTTGGGCTCTGGGGCCCCTGGTTGCAGGAAATTCCCCACCCGAACTGAATTGAAGTTGTTTGTTAAACTTTGAAAATCATCCAGGGGTCTGTTTGATCCCCCCCAGGGCTTGTGCACTTGCTGTTCATTGGCCAGTTCCTCCGTGACATCAGAGCATTCCAACCAATGACCTCCATCTAGCACCTCCATCTGCAAACACTTCGTTCCCCAGATAAGTTGGATTCTGCTTTCACAAGAGCTAGTTTAACTGTTTGGGCACTGCAGCCCTTCAACTCCCTCCTTGCCCACCCCTCTTCTCTGCCTTCTTTGCAGCAAAGGATACGTAACGATTCCCGCCAGCAGCCAATAATCGTGCCGGCGGTGCCAGATGTCGTAAACCTTTCCAGAGGAAACCGCAGCCTTCTCTTCATTCTGCCAAAGGGTGTGGAGCTCTGCAAAGCCACAAGACAATCAACTCAGGCCTAGGGGTACACTGCGCACCGGACGACTACAACCACCACTGGACAACTGACCACCCTTTCACCCACCCACAGTTTTCAGAGCTTTTATTGATTTCCACCACCTTTGCAGTCACGCTGGCAGAACAACTTATTTTATCATCAATGCCAAGACGACAATCATGGTTGCCAGGGCCTGTCAGCCCTTCAAGGTTGACCAGCCAAGAAAACCACATTATGAATTCCAATACTACTCTCGTTATAGGGTTACGGTAACAGCAACATGCAAGTCTGAATGTGCTTCTCTGCTCCCTGCTTTTATCCTAAAGCATTGTTTCTCAACCTTGGCAACTTTAAGATGCGTGGACTTCAACTCCAGAATTCTGGGAGTTGAGGTCCACGCAACTTAAAGTTGCTAAGGCTGAGAAACACTGTCCTAAAAAGAACTAGGGAGAGTTAAGTCTGAGATGCTTTTTCAAATTACATTTTTGGCTCAGACTCAGATTTCTCTTGTCTGACTGTTGTCTTGGCTGCGGCTCTTCCTCCTGTTCCTCAAGGTTATTCTCCCAGCCCATTACATCGCCCCAGCTGGGGCTGTGTCTCTGAATGAAGCCAGGACCAATCTTGCAGGGCACGGTTCTCTGGTAGCTTCACCAGTTGGATCAAGGAGAAGACCGGGACAGTAAAGCAGAATATGGGAGTATCTTCTCTGCCTTGTCAGCTTCTTGGTCAGAAGACGACCAGGGCTTTGCCTTAATAGACACGATGAGCAGATCTCAGCAGACCTGGGCTAGCCCAGAGCTGACATGGCTAATGCAGGAACTCACTTGCCTCCTTCCTCTCACAAATCCTGCCGCAGCCCGGCATCGGGTGAACTCGCCATGCAAAACTCCTGCACTGAGCACAGGCATCCCTCCGCCTCTCTGCATGACCCACTGCTCTCCGCTCGCTCTGCCTCCTTCCAAACTGACAACCCTATGCAGCAATCTATCCTCAAGGGAGAATCCCTGTTGCATCTTTGCAGGAGTCTCTGCTCCAAGCTTTCCTTTGCTTCCAGCAGACAGACTCCCAGAGTGGGTTAGATGAGCAAGGAAAAGAGGCTGAGGGTTGGGGAGGGGGGTCATTTATACCTGTGAATCCTCCATCCGCAATGTTGAACATGAATCGGGTTCCTTCCCGGTCCTCTTTCTCGCCATTCTGCTGAGGTTCATCCTGCGCCTTCTCTTCTGCCTTCGCGCCGTCTGCAAAGCCGAGTGCACAGAGCATCAGACGGTCGTGCGAACGGTGGTCGGGATCCCAGCGGCATTAGCAAGGTACCGGACGAGGTCAGTTCCTCCCCAAATGCTGTCAGAGGGAGACTTTGCCTTCTGCCTCCCCTACCTGAACTCTGGGTGTTTTCAAAAAATGTCTGAGCATCCGAAAACACACACAAGCCTTCCAGACCCCTTCCTCTTTTTAAATTGATTTGGTCCAGAAATGGAAAACCAGGGAAGGCAAGTGTGAAAATCTGCTTCCATTGCTAAAATGCACAGGTGAGGCCCTTAAAGGAGGGGGGGGGGGGTGTGATGGTGCTGTTGGGGCCACCATGTTGGCTTTTTCACCACCACCACCCCCCTGTGTGGAGGACCCTGCCCACCCCACAATCCAGCTAAGAATCTGGCCATTTTGGGGAGACGGCATTTTCAACCCGTAGCCCTGGATTAAATGCCGGGAGATTATTTTACCTGGCTTGGATTGTTTGCTTCCGCTGGGATTAAATTCTAGCTTTTTGGGCGTTTTTTCCTGCTGCTCAGATGTCTCCTCGGTGGGAGCTGAAAAGCCAGAATTGAGGCAACCACCAGGAGGAACCAAAAAAATAAATAAATTAGCACACAAAGGACGATGTGAACAAAAGATCAGCATCACAAGGTCCTCGTGTAATAGTCAAACATTTATGCTATTATTATTATTTATTTATTTATTTATTTTTATCAAAACTTTTTAAAAAGAGGATAAAAACTAATACAAACTAATACAAGGAAGGAAAGAGAAAAAGAAAGAAAGCAAACAGTGCAAGAAAAGGAAAAATGTTAGAGGACACTAGAAAAGTTAGAAAGAAGGGGAAAAAAACAGAAAAGTTAAAGAAAAGCAAAAAATAGCAAGTGCAGTTATATTTTAACCTTTCTCTCTAAAGTTACATCATAATATTCTTCTTTCTATCCTGTCTAATCATCCAAGCCGTCAATCACAAGTTCATTTTTAAAATTTTTACGCAAAAAGTCCATCAGGGGTTTTCCAGCCACCAATAAATGAAGATGGTATCTTTTCTCTAACCCAAGAAGTTAGTTTATCCATCTCAGCCAGATCTGTCCATTTCACCAACCATTCCTCCATAAGGAATAGTGCCGAATCTTTCCATCTCTAAACGTTTACTCTCTTTCTCTGCGTTCAAAAGGGATGAAATCGTGCCAGATTTCAAACGAAGATGCCGACATCTTACAAGAGATCCGGTGCTGGTTTTCCCGCCACAGATATTCGGTGGCCTGCTATGTGCTCAGACCTAAAACGATGCTCTCTCCTTCATGGAAGCGCTTCAACGAAGGCTGGAAGGTCACCTGTCAGAGATGCTCGAACTGGAGCCTCCTCTGAACAAGGGGTTGGAATAGATGACCTCAAAGGTCCCTCCTGATTCTTGCATTTTATGGAAAGGGCTATTCCCCCTTAGGTTGCTCCAGCACATTGGGGGTATTTCTCTTCCTCCTTTCCCAGGACATAGTCCCCTGCAGTGAACATGCAGTTACAAGGGATATACAGGTAGTCCTCACTTAACGACTGTTCATTTAATGATAGTCTGGAATTACAACAGCCTTGGGAAAAGTGCTTTACAATCCCCATGATCACGTGATTGTGATTTGCGACCTTTTTTACAATGGTTGTTAAGCAAATCACCACAGTCGTTAAGTGAACTGCATGGTTGTCAAATTAATTCTGGCAAAAAATGTCCATTGGGGAAGCTGGATTCACTTAACAACCACATGATTCACTTAAGGACCATGTGGTTTGCTTTACGACCACGATTCACTTAATGACCATGGTAAAAAGGTTGTGAAATCAGCTCCAATTTGCTTAACAACCAAATCACTTAGTGACCTAAATTCCGGTCCCTATTGTGGTCAGACAGTGAGGACTACCTGTAAATGTTTAAAAACTTTATTATATTGAAGTCCTCCCTCACCCTTTGGCTGTTCATAAACCTCGGAGCAACTCGGTCCCACACCTTTGCTTGGTGGCTCCAGGGGGGGCTCCCCCTTCTCACCCCCTTCCGAGGCTGCCTCGCCTGGCTCTCCTGGACTCTCAGATGATTCCTCTTTCTCGCCGTTCTCCGTCTTCTCTCCACCTGCCTGCAAAGCACCATGGGATTCAGTGCCTCGTACTCAGATTTCTGTGTGCTTCCCCTTACTCTGGGTTCAACCCGCTGGGTTGTCTGCCTGGCCCACAGTCCTTGGCTCAGTTCCCACCTGGAATGACGCAGGCTAAGAGCAGGGACTCCTGCAGAGACACATCGGGCAGCCTCTGATGAGCAATCCAGTTAGATAAAACTTGCGCAGACCTCCCAAGCAATTATCCGAGGGTTGAAAGAGACCTTCAAGTCCAACCCCCTGCCCAGCGCAGGAATGCTCGTGAACCAAGGTTAGAGAACAGTCCTCTAAAATTCCTCTTAGCCTTGGTTTAGAGGAGGGGTGGGTGGGAACAGGGGTGGCCCATCCCCTCTTTCTTTATCCTTCAAATTGCTGCTGGTGTGCGGAGGGGAGCCGCGGCCAAATTCCCCCCTCTCTCCGAGGAGGCTGCCCATTGTGTCTCTGCACGCACTTCCGTTCAGTTTTTCTGCTTCTAATTAGAACCCACTTTTCCCAACTGCCAACACTACTAAACCGCTGGGAGAAACAAATGAATTCAGCCGCGGCTACGTTTGCACAGTCTTGCCTAGGCTAAGAGCTAAAACGGTTGTCCGCAATTCCGGACCATCTCAGCACACGCTGAAGATCCAGCCACCCCTTGAAGCTGCCGGACCTCAGTTCAGGCTTGTCAACCTGGGCTTGCTTTTCAGGGTCTTGTAGGAACTCAGCTAGAGAAAGAGCAGCTGGGTTTCAATGGGGAGATCCAAGGTCAAGTTGTGGAATTTAAATCTGAAAAGGGCGAGAGGTTCAATTCGAACAGGAAGCATCGAAACTACCCGAACTGCCCAGGCAGGCCGTTTTGTTCGGGCAACGCTTCCCCAAGACCCGTCAGGGTGGAAGCAAGAAGCCTCTTGGCCACGGATGCCCTTACCTGGTTCTCTGGCAGCATCCCTGGTTTCTGTTCGACTTGCTGCTTCTCCTCCAAGCCCCCCAACGGAGTCTCTGCTTTCTCTGAAACCACTGATTAAAATACGAGCAGTTGGAAGAAAGAAAGGGAGAGAAAGAGGGGAAGGTGGGTGCAGAATTGGAAAAGGAAGAGGGAAGGAAGGGAGAGAAGTAGGAAGGAAGGGGCAGAAGGAAGGAAGAAAGAACACAGAGGGAGGGAGGGAAGGAGGGAAGGAGGAAGGAAGAAAAAACCCAGAGGGAGGGAAGGAGGAAGGAAAGAACAAAGATAGAGGAAGGAAGGAAGGAAGGAAGGAAGGAAGGAAGGAAGGAAGGAAGG